TTGATCAAAAATACAGTAAAAACAGTAATATTGTGAAATATAATTGCAACTTCAAATAACTGTTTTCTGTTTTCATCTATTTTAAAATGTAATTTATTCTTGTGATTGCAAAGCTGAATCTTCAGCAGTCATTACTCCGGTCTTCAGTGTCACATGATCTTTCAGAAATCATTCTAATATGCTGATTTGCTGCTCAAGAAACATTTATTATTATCAGGGTTGGAAAGAGTTGTGCTGCTTTCATTTGAAATAGAACATTATTAATGCCTTTACTGTCACTTTTGGTCAATTTAATGTGTCTTTGCTGAATAAAATTATTCAGTTTAAAAAAAAAAATTAGTGACCTCAAACATATGCATATGTATATACAGTATATGGTATTATTTATTTATTGTATATTTATACTTTGAGTTGAACTCAACATGTACTGTACAACCTGCATACTTTACAATATATTTTTTATGTTTATGTCCAATTACTATGAAGTATATCTCAGAGAAACAGTAGGAACAATGGATCATTAAGTTCTTCTGATGTGGTTCAATAACATGAAAGCCTTCACTAAAATAGCTGATGCAATGACCTGTGGGCAATCATTTAATGGACTCTGTTTTTGCCCCCGACCGGTAATGCGCACGGTAGTCTCACAGAGCACTGCCCGCTGGGTAAAAATAGGTGGAGACCACATGCAGGTTTGAGAAAATGAAAGAAAGAGAGATAAAGAGCTCTTAGCTTTAAGTGCAGATCTCACAGTGTGAGTGCCGCATTCACTGCAGGGGTGCAGAGGCCCATTGATCTGTTTCCTTTGAATAAACTCTGTATATAAACACCACTGAAATGTGACTCTAGCTCTGACTTCATATTGATTCTCTGAGCCTGAGAGGGATGTATAATGACCATAGATTAGACTTTTAAGAAGTTTATCCCCACTTCTTGTCTTTTTAGTGGGTAGTGGTGGTTTTAATGTTTTTATGTGTTGTACAGAAGCTTTTTTTCTCACTATTCAAATTAGTTTTTCTCAAAATTGTGTGTATATCTCACATTTCTAAGTTTATATCTACCAATTTAGACTTTTTTCTCAGAATTGCGAGAATTGTGAGATAAAAAAATTGCAATTACCTTTTTTATTTTTTTTTCCTTAGCCGAAACAAACTTGTTTATATCTTGTTAATATTATAAAATCAGTGTCTTCCATGTAAGTCCAGTAACTTTTAACAAGCCGTTAGAACACTGTGTTCTACTAAAAATTTTTAATATGTGGTGTGTACATGTAGTGTGAATTATGTAGTGTATGGTATTTAGGACGCAGTCTATACTTTGCACTGTATACTATGTCGTATATTGGATGTTAGTCCCATATAGTAGGTCAAAAGGGTTTAATAAATTCCCCAAAGTCAGTTGAATTAACAGTCAACTGAACTTTTTTTCTGTCAAGTTTTAAGTAGATGCATAAAACTGTAACTGTAAGTATGTCAGGACTTCATGATATGCAGTGTTAATGCATCGTTTCCAACATCAAGGTCTCAGCTGCTGGTAATGTGATCATTTCATCCAGGAAATGTGAAGCTCTGGAGTGAATAGGTGACTAAAAATAAATCCTGTGTTGAATTTAATGTAATGATTTTACTGTAAAAAGCCACAGTGTAGCTTGAAGCGGCTCTCTAGAGGGAGCGCTAATTAAATTGATCCTCTTCAGTGATCTTTCATTATTACCATCATTATGGCTGTAAATACAGTGCTGCTCTGCAGGGGTCTAGAGCATCGGTTCACATTCATAACATACTGTATCAAATTGCTTGGTTTTATGTTTTATGTGTAATCGCAGCAGTGTATCTATGGAGAAACTACTTAAAAACTGTAGTTCTCCCTTTAAGTTAACATCACATATTATAAATCAATATCTATAAATGGATAAATTAATTCTGCAATTAGAACATTTTTCTTATAAAAACATCTTAATTAGGGTGATTAGCATTTAACTGACAGTAAAAACAACTAATAAAAAGCTAGAAAACACACTGACTTATGTTACAGAGTTAAAGAATAAAGCAGCATTTAATTTAATATTTCACTTCAGAAAAGGACATGCCTTTTTAAAATTAATGAGTGAATTGTTTATTTACATGAACTGTGCAAATGAACTGATTTTCTATTTCCCTGCTGTAAAAAAGTGAAAACATACATCGACACTTTGTCTTTCCTTGAACATATTTTTCTCAGATTGTCTGAAGAAAACACTGTATTTCAAGGATTTGTAATGTTTGTCTTAAATTATAGCATGTGTCTCTGTTTTGTCTTTGTTTTGTCTGTCTTTCTCTCTCTGTCTCTTTCTGTTTGGTTGTATCTTTCTTATCTGTTTTTGGTGTGTGTGTGTGTGTGTGTGTGTCATGTAGCTGGTAGGAGCAGTGTTGACTGCCTGCTTTATTTATCTCCTTTATAAAGAAGAGGAAGAAGACTTTTCTGATGTTTGACTGGCTAGTGCCAATGTTTGACTCCTGAAGCACTATGCGTTAAGAAGGTCGGCCATTTGAGTTTGTGCTTGTGTCTGTGCGTGTGTGCATGTCCATGTGCCTTATTCCTGTCACTTCATGTCCACCTCATGCTTTCTGTATGACTTATATGTACGTGTTGGCATGAAACAAGCAGTTTTACTCCACACATGCTGAATGCTGCATGGCAAAAAAAAGAACAAAAACGCACAACTAATAGCACCAAATAGCATTTTATTATGTTAAACTTTTGTATTTTGAGACAAAAATTGTTTCATAACAGGATAAGGCAAATAATTTAATATGTTCAGTTAAAAATGTGTATTTTTGAGAATAAGTGTCGACCGTTTACCTGATATAACCTTTTACCTGCAGCCTGCTGTGGGACTCCCAATGTGTCCGATCTATTTCAGGCCTCTCTCTTCCTGTCTATTGTATCCCTCCCTCTGGTCCTAGACTGTTGGAAAGGAGAGCTTTCAAAGGTGTCAACATATCTGCTCAGAAAAAAAGACTGTTTGTCCCTAGCTTTTTGTGTAGGTCTGCTGATTGCGTATAAGTCTCATCTCTCGATTTGTTGTCTGTCGTGCCTTTCTCCCATGCAGTTAATCCCACTTTCATCCGGCTTTATTTTCTTCTGGAGTAGCATTAGAAGTGCTGGCAGTAATACTGCTTCTCACTCAGTGCTTTATGACATGGAGGATAGTTGTGTGAAAAGAACAAGCTTTTTAAAGCTGAAAATGAAAAATGGACACAAAGGAAGGTATTCTGTACATTTTCTAAGATGCTCTTTTCCATGCACGGAAATGAATGAGGACTGGGGCTTTTAAGTTCCAAAACTGACAAAAAAGAGGCATAAAGCACTATAAAATAGTCTTTTGGTGCACTATATTCTACATTTGCTAATGACAGATGACAGTTTTGTGTAAAGATCATTCTTTACGACAAATTTACACTATTGTTCAAAAGTTTGGGGTCAGTAAGAATTTTTTTAAGAAATGTATTTTATTTTATTTTGGCAAATTCAACTTTGCCATCACAGAAATGTCATTAAATTTTAAAATATATTAAAATAGATAAGCTATTTTAAATTAACATAATATTTCAGAATATTACTGTTTTACTGTGTTTTTGACCAAATAAATGCAGTCTTGGTGAGCATAAGAGACTGCAACACCGATCCCAAACTTTTCAACTGTAGTAATTATTTGCTGAAATTCATTCTTTTTGCTGTATTTTTAAATCTCTTGTGTATATTTATGTTATTAAACACTCAACATTGGAATTTCAAGATATATTTGCACCAGGTTTGGTCCAATTTACATCAGATATCACTGGTTCTTGTAAATTTCCTCATTTTTTTTTTACCCCAAGCGCAAATAAGAGTATTCATATTCTCATTGTATTGAAAAGAGCAGCTTTGACATTCTGCAAAATATCTTCTAAAGAAAGAATATCAAATAGTTTAAGAATGTTGTATGAGTTTGCAAATTAGAAAAGATGAAAAACCTATATTACTAAATCTACACTTTGTAATAGATATTGGGTTTGTTCACATTCTGATTTAAGTGAAATAAAGCCACTCAGTTGCACTGTAAAATTTAAGCAAGTTTTATGAACTAACATATGAATGTACCCCATTTTTAGTCCATAAACAGTTCCCATTCTGAGGTTCATTTGAAACCTCTAAAAACACTCATAAACCAGAGATCCTTATTGGCATGTGCCATGAATACTAATTTAACCAACAGTTAACTACAGATTAACCAATTTAAAGTGTATGGTTTTCCCATAATAGTAAAACATTATTAAGGCAAGGAAATACTTGAGTTGAGCTGCACTTCCAGTTCTGGTTTATTTCTGTTTGTGGGTAGGATGAGGCTCCTTCATTTTTGTAGAAATGATCGCCCACCAAGAGCCCTCCTAGGACCTGGCTTCCGATTTGTCTTCAGCGTTTTCCAGAGGGAGAGAGGAAAAATAAAGCATGGCTAGATGCTGAAACACTCTGTATTTTTAGATTATGTTTTGTAACATGTAGACTAAGTTTGTAAAGGTCTGGTAAGATTCTTATATTTGTATCTCCTACATATATTTGAGTTGTTTTTCCTAGGATTACAGCTTGAAGAATATCTCAGGGTGTTTTTTTATGCTGTCTCAAAC